TAACTTCAAGTTTTCTAATAAATACATTATTTTTTGCAAAAATAAATTCTCTTTTTAGTAAGAATTGTAATTCGTTTCTAATTATTACATCTTGATTAAAATATTAGCTATTAATTAAATATTTATCAAAGCAGACAAACAGTCTGCCTTGTAACTAACCTGCAATTGATTTATAGCAAATTCAATCATTTGCTAATCATTCAAATTTACCATTATAAAATCCTGTATATTGTGTAATTTTAAAAGCGTGTAATTGTATAATTTAAAATATATATTAATATTTTATCTTTTTTCTTTCTTTCATTTTTTTCTCAATGAAAAAAGTTACAAGAAGTTCGGATGAAAAGGGGCGTTATATAATCCATTAGTTGCATCATCTACTATTGCATCATCGAAAACGTTTCGCCAGACATTTTTTTTCAACGCATAAAACCCGCGCATTGAATCAGCTCCTTGTATTATTGCGAAGCACAGCACGCAATATATTTGCATTTACGGTATACTTGTATTTATCGCAGTCAAATTTTCGTGTAATTATACGATATTGGTCTCTTAATACATAAAATTAAACTTGTAAAATTAGAAAAGAAGAAAAGATTATGTCGGAGATAAAAGTGCTAGAAGGTGGGGCCACGCAACTATTCATCAATGCAGGTGGAGAGACCGATGGTGATCCTCTATGGGCCGCACGTTACCTCGTAACGAAACCGGAGGCTATCTTGGCCACTCACTTGGATTTCTTGCGTGCTGGATCAAATATCATACGAACAGTCACGTACCAAGCGACGATTGACGGTTTTGTAAAATATCTAGGCATCACCAAGGAAGAGAGTCTCGAGATCATTCGTAAAGCCGTCGATTATGCTAAAGAAGCTGTAAAGATTTATACTAAAGAAATAGAGAATAATAAAAACGTGACGAACCAAAAACCATTGATCGCTGGATCTTGTGGGCCTTACGGCGCTTCTTTGCACGATGGTTCGGAATATACTGGTTCGTATTGTACAAGTGTATCGCGAGAATTTTTAATGGATTGGCATAGACCTCGCATACAAGCATTGCTAGAAAAGGGTGTGGATGTATTAGCAATGGAAACGATACCTTGCGCTTACGAGGCAGAAGCTATAATCGATCTACTCAAGGAATTTCCAGATGCGCGTGCATGGCTGTCCTTCTCTTGTAAAGATGGAAAGAGCTTGGCAGACGGCAGCAACTTTCAAGAAACTGCTGTGAGGTGTTACAAAAACGCGGCACCCGGACAAATATTAGCTATCGGCACTAATTGTATCGCTCCAAAATATGTTACCTCTCTATTCCAAGGCATCAATAGAGACAAGTCAGATGATTTTATACCATTGGTAGTATATCCTAACAGCGGAGAAAAATATACAGAATCTGAAGGGTGGAACAAGGAAGGAGATGCTCCTACTTTGCACGAGTTCATTGATGAATGGCTGAACCTTGGCGTTCGTTACATCGGTGGATGTTGCAGAACATGTGCTACAGATGTAAAACTTATAAGAGCTAAAGTAGATCAACGGTTTAAACATTAATTTAATGATTATATATCGAGAATGCTATCTCACAACTTTTATGATAATACATAAATTATATTTTTCAACACATATTTTGCATGATAAATTGTATCATATTTTCGAAATTTTTATAATTTTTTTTATGTATATAGAATTTTTGTTATGTATATAGAAAATGAAAATAAATATAAGTCGAATATTATACATATCTAATGTTTATAAATATTGACTTATTTTTTATTATACATTTAAATTTTCAAACAATTTTAAGCTTTCTTTTTTTTAATTCCAGCTTCTAAGAATATGTTTCAAATCCGACAGTAATTGACAATTTGTAAAATTATAAAATGTATTTAAAAATTCACATAAAAGTATCATTATTAAGCAATATTATTAACATTATTAGGCATCAAGATTCAGCATTGACTGTATAGAGCACTTTTCGATTTTAATTTTTTTTTGTTGTGTACGTATATACCAGTAATATGTATATTTGTGCATTGGGTAAAATAGGCATTTAATATTTTAGCTTTACTTTATTAACATATTTAATTCCTTTTACATCAAAAATAGTTTATCAACTGATTATTACAAATATGTTTATCACACGAACATAGTCATGAATTTATTTTGATACATATATTATTATTACGTTATTGAATTAATATAGCTTTTGTTCATTTTTTAAATTGTTTTAAAACTTAAAAGATTTCCCATCATTTTGTTTTATCCAAAATTGCCTTTATTTATAAATGGCACGTAATTAAAATTAACGTATCATTTTTCGCTTCTGATGTCACATTCAATATGGATTCAATATGGCTATGGTGACTCAAGAGCCTTAAAAGTACGATGAGATTCTATCGATTCTCTTAATTATTTAAGAATTTTAAAATATAAACATTGAATAGTCAAGAAAATAACTTAAAATGATGAACTTGAATGGAAATACTGACATGTGCAATATAGATAATACGAAAAAAATTGTGAACGGAATTATGTAAGATAAAGCCTTTTTTTAAATAAACGTAGACATTTGCTATTTTATGAAATATATTCTAAATATCTTAATATTTTTAAAAAATTTTCATAAGTAATTAATTATATACTTACTCAATAATAATAAAATCGTTAAGATCAAAATGTATTATTTATTCTTTCAAAGATTTATCAATATATATTAAATGTTCGCCAACTGGATAAGTGCTACCTGCAATGCTAACTTCAATACTTTCTGTTTCTGCATTTACATTAAATACAGAATCCGGTGGAATTTCAGTTTTTCCTTTTAAAATATTTCCTACTACTGGCCTAATTCTTGGTCCTAGTTGCGGATCATTATATCGATACAACACGATTGAAGCAGGATCTGAACAAAATATATATTAAAGAGTCTGTATTGTAAACTAATTTAATTATTCAGAAACTTTCATATACCTTTTATATGTGTATTTTCTTTTACTATGTGGAAGACGATATCTGCAACTGTCGCAGTTGAAATTTTCATAGACAGTTCAAATAAATTGCTACAACTTTGTGGATTAATAATACATATCGGTTTGAGAACTATTGGCTTTACACAAAAATTAATGTACGGAGCACCTGGGCAACATTCTTCTCTTGTCTTCTCTGTAGCTTCGTCCGTGTATTTAATGACAATATCATGAATCTGGTGATAAATAAAAAAATATAGTAGATATACAATATATACATAGACTGCGAAACGTCGCTTGGATGCCTCCAATGCCTCAGATTCATCATTCTTGTTTAATATTAAATATACAAAAATTAGTAGTGTATGCTTACGCCTAATGTATTTTTGAGATACTCTTTGTTGGTCTCAAGTACATGGAATTCATCAAAATCAAGGGTCAAATTCAGCGCACTAAGACCAACAGTTTCCATCTTTTCTTTAACAAGCTGCACGAATGGCATTACTCTTTTCATATATTTTTTCAACTCTGCTTTGCCGGCAAATGTTGTGGAAAGAACTTTATTGTCTGGCAATTTATTTCCATTTTTCTATAGAATAATAAAAATATTAATGTACAAGCGATGTTAATTATACAATGTACTAAATTGTTACTACTTACGCAATACATTTCTCTCATCGTTTCAAGGATGACACTTTGCCAAGGAGGATAAGTCTTAGCTACCCAGATAATTCCTTGACTAGGTTTTTCTATGTTAGTAATATCGTTCTTTGTCTTAGATTTTTTCGGTGTCATGTAATTTTTTAAAAGAATTCTAAATGTATGAGCAGCATCCATGAGATATTGAGACGATTTTATTAAAATTTCGTTTATATCTCCTACAGCAGGCCAGTTTGCACCTAATATACTGTCATTCTATAATAAACCATATTATTTAAACTGTATTTTTATCAAGATAATCTAATAATCTATAAATATTTGTACTTCAATCCTACAACTTACTTTTTTAAGTAAGTCTTTCCATATATATTCACAAACATGTGGGCAAATAGGAAATAGAAGAATTATTTGAACTTCTATATACTTCTTAATTAAATCCAGATTAGCCTCTGGACTTAATTGTAAATATTTATCTCTAACTGCTTGAAGCTCATAAAATCCTGTCCTCAATGCTTCCTTGTAAAGCATTTTCGAATAATTTTCACCAGTTTCTTGTATTTTTAAATTTATTTCGCTACATCAAATAAATACATAAAATAAATTATTTCAGTTCTATAATAATTTTAGAAAATAAAAAAAATAAAAGTACCTTATAAAGACGTTGTCATGAAAATGTTTCAATTCACGTGAAACATTATTTTGACAGAAATAAGCATCCGTATTTAGTATATCTTTTATCCATTCTATAAAATTATACAATCTCAGAATTCCTGCATCAGCTGTATTTTCAATGAAATTAGCGTCCTCTATCGAATCACCAGAATCAGCTAAACAGAGACGCAGTCCATCAGCTGAGAATTTTTTTATAGCTTCGGCAAGTGTTAAAAAGTTGCCTTCTGACTTAGACATCTGTGTAATTGGAACAATTAAAATTTTATACATAACATAAATAAACATTTTAAATAATTTTGCATTACCTTCACTGAATTGAGAAGTAGATGACCATTTGCTCTTATTCCTTGTGGCCATAATTCAGGTTGATTTGGCCATATTGCTGTATGATTATAAAGAAAATATGTAAGATGATTTTGTATTAGATCTTTTCCTGATACTCTCAAGTCTACAGGATACCAATACTGAAATTCTTGCCTCATACGATCTAGAATTGCTTTGTTTATATTTGTCTCGGGCAGTTTAGCATCTTTGAAAAAGATGTAATCCCACACCTCCGAAGTCATATGAGAAGGTCTAATAAAAACGATTAAATGTTAATCACAAATAAATACAATATACATCAATTTTAATCTTATTTACTTTATTCCATATGGATTAATTATTCCATATGGTCTGTCTCCCTTAAAAGTTTCTCCTTGCAAAAAATGTGCTATTGTGTAATAAGCCATGTAAATAGTAGAATCTGACAGAGATTCTATCAGCCAATTTTCGTCCCATGGTAACTTGGTGCCTAAAAAATTTGAAATTAAGAAGATATTTATAAAAATAATTCTAATTATTTGTGATAATTCATTTACCAAGTCCATACGTCCTGGAACATGCATGCTCATGTAACCAGTCAAAACAAGCAAGAAAATTCTTTCTAACTTCATCGTGAAAGGTATCGAGATTTTTTAAAGCCTCAAGCGTCTCCTTCTTCCAATTTTCCTCTCCATAATCCAAATACCATTGGTTACATAAAGCCACAACGCATTCATCATTTGATCTTGAAATAATAGTTTTTTCAGGTTCATAATAAATCACTGCTTCGCCATTGTCAATTATCTCTTTTTGAATTAATTTCTTAATATCTTGTATCTTTTTGCCCTTATGTGGACCTAATAATAGTATGCCGTCATAAAATCCTTTTAAATATGCTATTTCTTTTGCCTCTGTGAGTTTAACTTTATCATTTTGGGATTGAATCTTTAACTGATCATATAATGTTACTGCTACTAAATTGCCCAGTTCTGGAACTTCGATGATTGGAATCTGGTACATAAAGATATGTGAAAGATTTCATGATTTTTTTCCAATCTTTTATAATTAAGTAATTCACATTATACATCATTTACTTACTGGATTATATGGCAACACCATTTTATCAGCAATTCCGTATTTCTCTCTAAGTGATTGTTTCTTTTTTAGATCCACTAATGCAGCATAATCATCTGGAGAATCACTAGGGACGGAAGTTACGATACCAGTGCCCTTATCTTCTTTTATCGTTAACATAGGCAATGCATAAATCACTTTATTAGATGTGAGAGGTGCTTCCAATTCGAGTCCCAGTAAATCCTATAAACATTTCTTATGTAAAGATTTTGAAAATATAAATAATATCTACATTGAATAAATAGTACTTTGCCCATGAGTTTTTGTATAACATCTATCTTTCCCTCTTCTTTAAAGAAACCTTGATAGGACATATTCTTAGCCGCACGTTCTGTAGAAATATATACATCCCCGCACGCTAAATTATACGCTATGTAGTTCATGTCTGGATGAACCCAACAATTTGTTTGACCATACATTGTCTCTGGTCTTAAAGTTGCAGCTACTAAATAAACTGATTTATTGTCAAAAGTCCTATAAAAGTTATATTATTTAGTATTAGTTACGAATTAAAAAATTCTAGTGTTTTGTAAATAATATTAAAAATAATAAATTGTAAAATAATATAATTTGAAAAAAATATTACTTAATAATTTTTTGAGGGCATCGAATTTTCATTTTAATCAATGTATATTCTTGTGATCCAACACCTTCACCAGAGGCTCTATCGTGATCCATACAAGGTTGACCGTCTTTTGGTGAATAAATAGTATATCTCTTTCCATACTTAATTTTATTCCTAGATTTTAAATGATGAAACTGCCAGCGTATAAAAGAGTCATAAAATGGATTTGCATCTGTTGTAATAAATGTTCTTCGCCAATCCACCTAGAAATTTTAAAATCAGATATATGAAACTTAAGAAACCTATACAAAAATAATTTCTACTTTTTATCTTACACAAAGACCCATAGATTGTAAGTCTTGCATAGCGAGCGGTGGAAAATATTCTAACCAATATGTAGCATTGGTAAAGTTCTTGATTTCTTCATCTTGTAAACCAAGAGTTTGCATAATTTGCCATTGATACTTAATTATACCGGCCTTGGCAACTGCCTTACTCTAAAATTAATATAAATAATTTTCTCCATCTTTTTAAAAATATCTATTATACTATTAAAATCAAAATTATTAGAATTTTTTACTTTTTTCCCTTTACTTTTATCCTTTAGCACATCACTCTCTTTTTCCTCTATTATTTCAATTTCTTCAGGAAACTTGGGTGGATAACCATATGTTTCAATTTCTCTCTTTAATTTATCAGCACATGCTTTAATAGGCATA